AGAGAGAGAGAGAGACCCAGCTACACACCATGACACGGTTAGAGAGAGAGAGGGAGGGAGAGGGTGGAGAGAGAGAGACAGACAGAGAGAGAGAGAGACCCAGCTACACACCATGACACGGTTAGAGAGAGAGAGGGAGGAGAGGGKGGAGAGAGAGAGAGCGGGGGGGGGCACAGACATACAGACAGACAGACAGAGAGAGAGAGAATGGAGAGAGAGGACGGAGAGAGAGACAGACAGACAGAGAGAGGATGGGGGGGTACAGAGAGAGAGGATGGAGAGATAGAGGGAGAGGGGGGGCACAGACAGACAGAGAGAGAGAGAGACAGAGGGATAGAGAGACAGACAGAGTCCAAGGAAATATGGGATGCTGGATGAATATCCACCTGTTGATGGTGAGAGTCAGAGTTATGAGATAAAATCAAAACTATGAGTTAGTTATTGCGAATCATGAGATAAGTCAGATTAATGGGACAGTAAATAAAAATCAATGGACAGTAAATCAGAATTATGGGATAGAAAGTTGAAACTATGGGATGGTAGGTCATTATATTATTAGTTTAGTTCTTCTTGACTCTTTTTAATCAACGTGCTTTTGCTTTTTCAGGAAGAAGATTGTTCCAGAAGAAGTACAACAGAAAAAAGGTGAGTGGGGCCGTTAACGGATGAAGGGGGGGGTCGGGGGTTAAAGTCACTTTTAAGTGAAAATATTCGGCTTAGAAAATAATCATCACATTAAGTTGTAATTGTTCAATTTATTGTGAGGTTCTTCACTCATCGGTCACTTCCTCTTGTTTCCCAGGCAGAAAGGAGAGTGTGTCGAGCCTTCAGAGCCTCGTGTGCTGGTACCAGGAACACTCCCGCTCCTGCTCTCACGAACCGCAGCTCAAGACTCTGGAGCTCCAGCCCAACTTCTCCACTGCCGCTCTGTGGCAGTGTGACTCCAACCACTCTTTTGTGCAATACCTTTTCTCACCACCGAGGGAGGCAAGTGACTCTGAACAGGAGGAGGAGAATACCACAAAAGCGGACTTGCTCTCGGCTAAAAGCACAGTGAGCAGCAGGAGGAGGAGAAAAGAGACTCACAAACTATTCAAAGGTGCAGAATGAAAACTTTATTCTTTGCCTCATTTAGAGTTTTGTTGTTGATGTCGTGTGCAGACTAATCCTGAGGTCCTTCATGATCAACACATTATTTTTACTCTTTTCTGTAGATGTGGGAGAAAACGAGGATGTGTCTGAGGTACAGCATGCAACCACGAGCCTGATCGAAGACGCTGTTTCTCTAAACCACCAGACGAGTGTCGAGGCTTCTTCCAAGGATGTCCCGCTGATGGGGCAGCCTGTGTGGGAGATAGAGATGGAAGAACGGCAGGGCTCCCCCGCTGCAGCATTTGTCTCCATCTCCTCAGAAGAGGAGGCCGAGGATCTGAGGCAGAGCAGAGACGGAGGGGAAGGAGAGAAACTCAGAGAAGAAGAAGAAGAAGACGACATCAGGACTGTACCACATAATTATAATTGTGTTACCATGACAACACCCTTAGCCGACAAACTGGAGAAGACGGACGAGGACTCGGTGCCGTCGCAGAGCTTGAGCGGCCACGTCGAACTGTCGGTCCCATCAATCCCAGCGCCCATTCAGGTCCAAGAGCAGAGTGAGCTGTTCCACCCTCAGACTCTGCAGACGGTGGTGACCAGCTGTGAGATTCCTGACCAGAGGACGTCTTTGGAGGGCTCACAGGTTGGGGAACACGTGTTTTGCAGAGAGAGGTAGAAGTACGCATGTTCAGATCTTACCGGGTTTTTTTTTTGTCCTCCCCAGTTAATTATAATCACTGGCCCCAGCTACGAGGCCCTGGCATCAGAGGGCATCCAGCTCAACATGGGCGGAGGAACCGTGGAGGAAGTCACCTGCACAGTCATCGGGGGCGTCACCTACAACCAGGTTTGCTCCTGTGACTCAAAAATGACCACAGCGGAGGACGAAGACTCCATGACAGGTGCGCTACACCTGGGTGCAGGGCGCTGGACTGTGAATATCATGTCTACCTGTAATTGTTACGTCTTTAGTTGAAAGTATCCGTCTTTCATTTTGTGTAAGAATCATGTTTAACCATGTGGTGATGTTTGTTATATATTTATGTTCCATACGCTGCTTTCACTGAACTCCAAATAATCCCCTGACATCCTCTGGAGGGGCTGCACGTGAGAATGCTTTCTCCTGTCGGCCCCCAAATAGAAACTGATGACTTGATGACATTCTTACACACCACAGATGCAAAACTAAAGGACGGACGCTGTAAAGAAAAACATGTGAATTTAAACGTCTGAAAACCGCGAAACAAATATCCCGTCATGATCTGCACTGAAATAACCAGGATGCTGTCGATGATGAGTGTGATGATGAACGTTAAGATGATAAAACAAATGACAGGGTGTAGTTCTCAGTGGGGATAATATCCTGTTTCACTTTATATCCCCTCTCGGCCTGGCTCCCTTTAACTTAATGTCATGATGTTGATTGCAATAAAAAGCCATCAGTCCAAAAGTCAGGGGACATTTTAGATCCAGACGATATCTGCATGTTGTGATATCAGACTGTTCTTCTGCAGGTTTGAGTGACAAACAGCTGCTGCAGCCGGCTGATGCTCTGGAACTCAGTGGTGACAGAGAACTGCAAAGGAATCTGAGCAGGTTTGTGATGTTTACACTCTACATGGTGAAATCCAGAGCAACTCCGATAGATTGAGGATTAGAGGACGAGGACCGCTGCAGTAGTTGTCTTCTTGTCCTTTTTTTTTGTTTGCAGTGTCAGGTCAAAGAGAAACAGACGAGGCCCAGTCATCGAGGCGGACGGGATGCTCAAGATGTTCCACTGTCCGTACGAGGGCTGCAGTCAGGTCTACGTAGCGATCAGCAGCTTCCAGGTACAACGAGAGCTCACGTTCCTGCTTCCTGCTTCAGTTTGTTCAGCTGAAGATTGAAATCATGCTTTTGTTTTATTCGCGTTAGAATCACGTGAACCTGGTTCACAGGAAAGGGAGGACCAAGGTTTGTCCTCATCCAGGCTGTGGAAAAAAGTTCTACCTGTCAAATCACCTGCATCGCCACATGATCATCCATTCAGGTGAGCTGGCAAACTGTTGGAATCTCAGAATCAGACACTCATCTCTGCAAACCTCCGAATGTAACTGGGTGTTTTCTCACAGGGGTGAGAGATTTTATCTGTGAGACGTGTGGAAAATCGTTCAAGCGAAAGAATCACCTGGAGGTTCACAGGCGGACCCACACAGGAGAAACGCCACTTCAGTAAGTAAAGCTTTTTTATTTTGACGCAGTTTTGTTGGACAAATGTTAAACATCTAGAAATGCTCATAATCACTCTTATCTTCCCCCGTTCCTTCCGTCTCGTCTCCTCACCCACGTCACCCGTCAGATGTGAAATCTGCGGCTACCAGTGTCGCCAGCGTGCCTCCCTGAACTGGCACATGAAGAAACACACTCCAGAAGCTCACTACAACTTCACCTGTGAGTTCTGCGACAAGAGGTTCGAGAAGCTGGACAGCGTTAAATTCCACAAGCTGAAGAGCCACCCAGATAAGCAGGCGACCTGAGGCGCTCGAGCAAACGCTGCTGACAGGAGCTGGAGAAGAACGGGTTCATCCTCACTAACCGAAGGAAGACTTCCAGCGAGGACAGAGACGTTCCTCCGCCGGGGTTGTGTTGCTTCTCTCGTCCAAGAGGTCAAGGATCGCCTGTGAACACAAACAGTGGACAAGCCACTCTGACTGCTGTGCAGGAAACAGCAAGAGAGAAAATCTTAATCCACTGTTAATAACTGACCATCCGATCCTGGTGACGCAACCGTAACCAGACTTGGCAGCTCTACTCCGGACTTTTAGAGTTTTGGAAACGCTGCTGGTCCCGTTTTTTGATTTAAAAAGTCTAGACGGACAGAAACAGCCTTTTTCGGTCACAACGTAGCCTTCGCTGATTCGTCAGGCTCCTGTCACATGACCCCCTTCTGTAGGAAAACAACCAACGTCAGCCTCGGCGTCCAGTTTAGAACACAACATGGAGAATCAATTACAAGTGTTACTGACCCTGTTGTCTTTATTTGCTATGATACAACATATATTATTTGAGCAAACTGACACCGACCAAACGGTTTCTGTTTGGTGCTGTTTTTCTCATTTCTCAAAATCAGTTAGTTAATGTTTTTTTGGGAGCTCGTCTGGGATTCTACGATATCGGTAACGTTAGCTACTCTGCCCTGCTCCTACCTGGGTCTGAGAGAGTCCCACAACAAAGCCTGATGTTAGCTGACGTAGCATCGCGCTCTTCAAACACACAGTTAATGTTAAAATCCTCCTTATGAAGCCGTTTTCTTTCCATGAAGATGGAATGTGTGAGATACGCAGCTAACGTTGAGCAAAGTCACTTTAGGGCAAAGTAACAATCTAATCTTACATATTTCCTTATCGTTCTTTAAACACAAGAAGCTCTCACAGGAATATTTAGACACTCTCTTTAATCCCATGTTTTACACACGGACATTTAAGTGATGAGGCTTTTTGCCTGGGACTTGCTGCTCTGCCCTCTCAGTGGGGGACAGGGGACAGTGTTTTCAGCAGCGTGTGGAGCTGATATGACTCGGCTTAATCGGTTGCCTGGTAGTTTCCATGTTCTTCCCGTGTTTGCGTTGGTTTTCTCCGGCTCCGTCCCACAGTCTACAGACATGCAGACGGGGGTTCGGTTAATTGGAGACAGAAGAATGGTCCTTTAGGGATAACGTGTGATTTAAATATGATTACTTGGCCCTTTAATACACAACTAAGAAAGATTATAGATGACAAGCAGTGCGGTGGGTGAAGATATGACTACTTGCCGTGTGCTGCGTACACTTGTGCTTGTAGTGACACATGTCGGCTCTTTCATGTCAGTCGTTGAAATGTCAGCATCTGTTGCGTGGGACACGAGCCTCCATCTTACGTTGTGGTCCTGACTTACAGGAGCAGATGAATCCTGTAAGTCGTAGTCACGGGACAATTTCTCAGGAAAATTCACCTCAGTCGTCCCGTTCTTGTGTCCTGTCTGTATTTCAGTTCCTGACTAATGATTCACTAAAAATACGAACATGACTCATATTTGCATTCTGTCGTTCTTCACAAACGGGTAATCATATGCAAAGTCACATGCATGATGCACTGAACTGTGTTTGTTAGAGTCGGGGATGAAGTGTGGGTGTGTGGAGAGACTAGGAAGGAACATGCTCGAAACTGTTTTATAAGAGAACCGAGCAAAGTCATGATAAAATGTTAAGTTTGGTATTTTAAAGGTTCAATATTTGAATTGATGGAATGTAATTGAATTTGCGAGGATGCATTATTTATTAGTTTTCTTCATACACACCCATTCCACACCCGTTCTTATCAGCTCATTCAAAATGTCACTTCTCTATTATCGTGTCGTGAGTGATCATTCGAATTCTTCTGGAGTAAATCATCTATTCTCAGTTTTTTCTTCCATCTGTCACTCTCAGGATTGTGAAACTCAGAGTGAACATCATCCTGTGCAATCAATCAATCAATTTCTATTTGTACAGCCCATATTATTATATATTATGTTCACAAATCACAATTTGCCTCATCGGGCTCAACAGAGTCGACTACAGAGAGGAGAAGCTCCCAAAAATAACTTTAAAGTTAAAAAACAAAAGTAGAAAAACCTCAGAGAACATCAACAAAATTACAATATTTACAACATTAATGAGAAAAAACAGTTTCTATAGCATAAACGAAGAAGAGTTTCAATCTTTAAAGTATTTTTACAAAAGGAAATGACAGATGAAGGGAGCGACATCATTGAAAAAGGTTTAAAAGAGTTAAAGAGTTTAAAGAAACAAGAAGGAGTCACACTGTACATCCATTTAAACTTTTACAAATGAGTTGAAGGAGAAAGTTCATACAAATTAAATACAGATAGAATTCTGTGAAGTTCTGGTTCAACTCATCGCCTGCACTCGACCTGGATGAGTCAGATTTTAACTTTGAATATTGGATGTGTGCAGCTTTGCATGGTAACAAGAGGACATTTGAACTGAGCCTGACATGTTATGGTAATGATCGGAGTCTACGCTCTGTTGAGCTTTGTGTAAACCAACACGTCCATCACGTCACCAAGACAAACACGTTCTTTTGTGCCGCCGTGTTTACTGTAGAGAAACGCATTGTACCAGTAATGCTCGAGTGGCTCCTCTTTTTTTCACAGTTGGGATCAGAGTCCAAAATAATATCCGGAGGTTCCTTGACGATCTTCCTCCTCAGCAGGTGAATTTGGATTCATAATAACAATTAATGAAAGAAGAAGGTTCTTGGTTTGAATCCTGGTTTGGCCTCTGCACCCTCCAATGATAGGTGGTAAAGATGATGGATGGATGAAGGGAGGGGTGGAATGTGATTTGAGTCATTTCTGACGTTAAACTTTAACAGGGTTGGTCCTAAGACTGACCCCTGTGGGACCCCAGAGGAGAAAGAGAAAGAGAAAGAGCATCGAGGAATGTTCGGTTTGCTTTTATTTACACATGCAGTGTTTTTATTTCTGTTGTAGTCATGGTTACTGTTTTTTTTTCTGGCCCGTGTCGTGTCCCTCATATTTACACACGGTGTCTTTCATCACGATGAGGAGGATGGAAGTAAGAGAAATGCCTGTAGCTTTGAGATTTATCTGTAAATAATGATTTAATCTTTTTTCAAATCAACCACTGAAGGCAGAGGCACTCAGGTGAGCTCTCTCTCTCCCCCCCTCTCTCTCTCCTCCCTCAGGAGCGAGAGGCCTGACTCCATGGTGATGTGTGTTATTACTCAGCCGCTTTGGAGACGCCCACCTGCTCCCTCCTCCTCCCCCCCTCCCCCCCTGTACTCGTAACCAGCCAGGACTCTTATAATAACATCAGAAAGCAGAAAATAAAGTCACTCAGAAGCTCGTCCGAGTGATAGAGCCACAGGAAGTGTCACACAGACACTTTACAGAAGGACAGAAGAATAACACACTCCTGTTATCTCACCGTCCGTCTGCTGCCCTCATCACCAGAGTGAAGGTTCATACTCCTGTGGCAGGTGAGCTCAACAACATCCGACTGTGTTTTTAAATTATTCTGTTGCTTCTTCTTCTTCTTCTTTTTCTTCTTCTTCTTCTTCTGAGATTTCTGGTTATTCTCTGAGAGCCGTACCAACGCAGGCAGGATCCATCCAACAATGATCCTTTGTCTCCTGAGACCTGCCTGCAATTATTCCCCTCAATGGCGTCCTTTGAGATTTGTCTTTGTCTGTGTTTTGAGACGGTCGCTGGACATTCAGAGACTCCAGCGTTGATCTAACACCCACGAATACAAACCACGTATATTTCACACATGGTCAGTGTTCAGTTTGTCGCCTACAAGCAGGAACTGTTCCCTTTCTTCACATGTGCTGCGGGACATGACCAAACAGACAAGTTGTCACTGTTTTCAGTCACTGCTGGGTGGCTGTTTGAGATTTGCATGTGAGTCGGGCTCATTAATACATCACCGGACTCTGTCCTCAGAGTCAGAGTGCAATCATTGACCACGAGGAGGAAGGAGAAGCTCGGAGGAGTGAAGGGGCAGAGGGAGTTTGAGGGAGTCAAGGCGACCGAACGCTCGCTCGTTCTGCCTCTTAAGGGTTTAGAAATACATGATTAACCTGATGACAAGCAGCTTTACTCCATCGGCGCAGGCAGGCAGATAAACTGACAAGTCACTTCCTGTTTTCTTGGTTAATGACACGTTTGAGGAGGATGTTCGTGAGTTTTAATAACCACATATGCTGCGATGTAATAATTCCACATCAGCCTGTTGCTGCGGACAAAAGGGTTTTCACTCTGTCTTTGTCGTCGGGGATGACAATTTGTCTGTTTTCTCACATCACACAAAGAGCACTGTTCCCCTGGCCTACACACACACACACACACACACACACACACATTTTGGAAGTGACAACCTTGAAGTGACTCTGGAACAGTGAGGCCGTAAAAGGAGGAGGTGGGAGGAGAGGATTCAGAGACAGGACGTTGTTATTTGTGTGTCTGTGTGTGATGAGTCAAGATGATTAAGAGAGATAAACGTCAGACTTCAGTTCGTGGGTTGCGTTCTGTTCAAGTTCCTCTGTCGCCCCTCAAAGTCAAATCTTTAAGTCTCCGCCCCCTCACAGCCTCCAAAAGTTTGAATCACAACTCAAAACACGATGACATCAGGTTTTCTTATCAATCCGTCACTTGGACGATTTTTACCTTTGGTTCTACTTTTGGTTCACGTGTGATGTAGTTACACTCCACAGACGCTCTGCTCTACAGAGTGATGTCTGTGATGGAGAAGTTGGCTGACCACAGAGTTTTCTATGCAAATACAAACAGTGTCTCTTTGTTGCTTTGATATTCTGAACTTTGTTTCCGTAACACCTCAGCCGTGACAGTTCCCCAGTGTGAGATCCTCAAACCTTCTGTTTTGCGACGTCTGTTTCACGCTGAGTTCAGTTCCTCTGCTTGTTTGCTGCTTTATCGGAATTGTTTGCCTCTCCATTCCTGTAAATGCTAAACTAAACAAAGCCATTAGCCTCGGGCCCGCTAAGGTCATACGTGTAAAGTTAACGTGGATATTAAAGCTGCTGAGTTCTCCTGAGTGTTTGAGGGAGATAAGTTAGTAAGCTTTCAAAGGGTAAAAGGTGAGGAGCTGGGAAAGAGGCAGGTGTTTTACCCCCCCACCCCCCACCCTCCGTCACAGTGAATGAGCGAAGGACAATCCCTCTGTTAAAGTGTCACCTGCACGACTGAAGCATGTGATCAAAGCGTCGTTAAACTGCTACTCGACACAAAACAGGGACTTTGATTGATGGTGTCCTTTCGTGTTTTGTTTTTCCTGCTGTAGGTTCAAGACTAAGAAGTGAAAATGGGATGTTTTGGATTCCTCAAAGTCATGATGTTCGTGTTCAACGGCATCATCTGTGTGAGTTCTGACGTTTGACCAGAAATAATTCAAATATTGCCTCATTTTCTGTCGGCAAACATCTGCGAGCCGGTGCAAAGGAAATGAGAAAGTGTGACGCGGATCGGAATTTAGGAAGTTTAAATTCACTAGATCCCCATTTTTATTTGGATCCGCACACACTCATAAATATCAGTCCCCTAAATATGAATAGTCCATGAAATATCCTCTGAGAAATCAACGAAAATGTATAGTTTAGTTAAGTTTAGTTAATTTGTCGACCAAACAAAACAATTAACATTGAAATTTTAAACACAAAACCCTCCAACAACCCTTTTGACCAGTACTGCTCCAATGATTAGCTTCCCATGTAAAACCCCTCGACCTCCATTAATCTGGATGATTGTCTTCGTCTCCACCGTCAGCTGGCGGGCGCTGCCATCCTGGGCGTCGGGATCTGGGTGAAGGTGGACAGCGGCTCCATCCTCGGCTTCCTCGGGCAAATAGAAAACGCCCCGGCGGGGCTCAGTCAGGTGGTCAACGTGGGCTACCTGCTGATCGCAATAGGGGCGCTGCTGCTCATCATCGGATTTCTGGGCTGCTGCGGAGCCGTGAAAGAGAGCAAGTGCATGCTGCTGCTGGTAGGTCGCTGTTCTGCAGCAACTCTGGCCCGAGCAACACAAATAAAGTATATTCGACCTGATTCGATTGACTCGATGTTGGGTTCTATCCCGTTTTCAATAAATTGTACAACCGTCTGATCTTGTCCACAGTTCTTCATCATCATCCTGCTGGTCTTCATTGCGGAGGTTGCAGGGGCAGTGGTCATCTTGGTATTCAGACCCTTGGTGAGTTTTTTTTCAGGATGTCCGCGGGGTCGTCTCGTTAGCTGTGGACCTTTCGGCTCATGGATGTTTTCATTGTGTTTCAGGCCGATGAGCTGCTCCAGAAGCTCCGCACAGCGGCGGTTCAGGACATCAAGAAAGACTATGGGAAGAATCCAGACGTCACGGGACTGTGGAATACGACGATGACCACGGTACAAATCAGCTCTTCTACCGAACGACTTGAAAGATGTGACCTCTCTTCACACGATGTGTAACTGTGACTCTCTCTCTCTCTCTCTCTCTCTCTCTCTCTCTCTCTCTGTCTACACGTTAGTTACAATGTTGTGGATTTCAAAACTCCTCCGACTTTGTGGATTCGCCGTATTATAAGGATCAGAACAACCAGTTCCCACCTCAGTGTTGCTCTGACAAAAGCGCCCCCTGT